ATTAAACTCTTCAAACCATTTTTTTGCGAGATGTTGTCGACAATTGGAGATTACTATATCAATCGACAATTTCGCTAGACTACAATTCACACTAGAAAAACAGAAAAAATGAATGAAATAAGGATGTTTAAGCAAATGTTTTAATACAAATCATGGTACTACTATACATGTTCCTTTTGCGTACTTTTCAAAGCTTCAGTAGAATTCAAAGTTCAATTTCAGGAGTAAGAAATCTTATCAATGAAGATTCACTGAATACAGAGCAATGCGTCGATTGTCAACAATGCACTGCCAATGGCTACAGGTGAGCGACCGTGCTGGAGCAAAATTTTACCTTTTTTATTTTAATTAGTTGGCACATACTAAAGAACAAGGGAGGAGTAAGGGGAAGGCTGCACAGTTTTACTAATTCTTACATATGTATGTATACTGTTTCCACCATTTCGTTTATGTTTATTAGTGTTTTTCGCATACTTTTTCATTTATGGGTCAAGCGTTTTGATGTGAAAAAAGCTTCGGGATTTGCTTCCAATTCGATGAAGAGTGGTAGCGATTTACCTTCTTACTAACTTATTGGTTTTTTTATGGCGCACCTTTGTGTGTACGAGATAAAGATAAAGATAAAGATACTATGATTTCCCATTCTCCAGTGTCTGCCTTGGAGTACGACCAACACGAGCAAGTCGTGTGGACGCCAAAAATCCATGCTCATGCTCTCACTCAGTCCCGATTAACTGTCACAATCGACTACACGAGAAGGAACATCCCGCAAACCTCACCATGAAAGAATATACAGTCTGCTACCTGAGCGGTAGGTGAACTCGTCCGTATCTTCCGATGCAGTCTCAACTCGTCCAATTTCAGCCCTTCAAGCTCCACCACGCCCCCTGGCTGTCACTGAAAAAGATTCAGTTGTTTTTACGATTGAACCATTCTGGTTGGAAACTTACTGGCGTCAGCTTGATTTGGATAATTTGACATTCCATTACGACTTTCCCGTCAAGGTACAAGAATAACACTTTCGTTTCTTAGATAATTTCTTATTCCGGGGAATCTAAAATTCCAAAAGATGCAAAAAGGGTTGACGAAGATTTCCGATGAAAAAACTTGAAGAAACCTTTAATGAGTTTCGCCAAAAGAACTGATTGTCAGTCAACATGTGACTGCAAAATACATGGAGGGGGAAGTTTGAAAAAAAAGTACGACCTCAACCGAGTCCTTCAGTTTTTCTTTTAGAGCTTCTCGATTTTTTGACTTGAGTCGCCCCTCTCAAAGAACAACTTTTACAATACTAATTTGTTTTTTACATCAATTATAGAGATGTTCCTATTTTTACTATTTTTAAAAGTAACTTAGTCACTTTATTTGTTTTCTATGAATTATAGAGACGTTCCGATTTTTAGAAGTAATTCAGTCACTTTGCCTCAATTTCTATGAATAAGGGCATGAATTTTTCGGCCGAATGAGACGTAGATGCTTCCTAGAACATCCATTTTGATTTATTTTTCAAAATTTGATTTCTTCGGCAATAAACATCTTCCCGCTTGTTTTGATGATATGATTACCGTATTTTGAACTTCAGTCTCCGGATGCTTGTGAAGGTACAGTGACCTCGTCAGAAGATGGTGTGCATTTATGCAATAATGCCATCTCTCTAAATATGACTACACCAGACCAAAAAGATGAGGAATATGAACATAACGAGGTAAAATTGTATCCATTCCTTTTCAACAAATCAATACTGTGCTATAGAATTATGACCAATACGATGACGAGCTGCCAGAGGAAGTGGAAATTGATCGAGAAATTTTTGGAGACGCTGAGGAAGTCCAAGTTTACTACGTAGTAGATGTCAATCGACCCCGACAATTGCAACCTAAGGTTGATAGGCTCATGGTCCCTCCCCCTTCCCCCCTTC